TAAGGCCAGAACAAGGACAGCAACTGACATTAGAGGTGTCGATGGGATCAGGTATCAGGCACCAAAGAATAAAAAAATCTTATCATTGTGAATGAGAGGAAGTGTAGAGTGAGACCCAAAGCCCATCTGTAGGCAACTGGACATCCCTTTACAGAAGGTTCGCAGGGAGGAGATGAGCCAGTCAGGGTGCAGTGTAGCACCGATGAAACATACAACTTTCCTCTAGTTCAATGGTTTTCAACCTTCCTAATACCACAACCCTTTCATACAGTTCCTTATGTTGTGGTGACCCCCCCAACCATAAAATTATTTTCATTTGCTACTTCATAACTGTAATTTTGCTACTGTTATGAATCGGGCAACCCCTGTGAAAGGGTCATCCGACCCCCCCCCAAAGGGGTTGAAAACCAGTGCTCTAGTTCCTTAATGTTTTCCCCTCTCCCCCCACTATCATGATCCCAATTTTATCTTACAAGTCTAGCTAGACTAGAGGATGTAGACTGGTACAGATCAGAGCAGGAAACACAGGGAATCCAGGACAGATAAACCCCTCAGGATCAATCATGAGTGTAGCCATACCAAGAGAGTAAGGGCAAGGTGGGGGGAAGGACCAATCACAATGATCTACATATAAGACCCTCCCTGGAGCACGGACAACAGAAAAGTGGGTGAAGAGAGACATCGGTCAGTGTAAGACATGAAAAATAAATAAATAAATGATCAAGGGTTCAGGAGAGAGGGAGGGGGAAAATTGAGAAGCAGACACCAAGTGCTCAAGTAGAAAGAAAATGTTTTGAAAGTGATGATGGCAACAATTATACATATGTGCTTGACAAAATGGATGGATGGATGGATTGTGATAAGAGTTGTACAAGCCTCCAATAAAATGATTTTTAAAAAAAAGAATTTTATTGAGTTATTCTTAAGCCTGCACTGGCTAAGACAAATATGTCTTACGCTTGCTCTTGTATATATACTCTTCCACAGACAGAGCACCCACACAGAGATATTAACCACACACGTTCATGGTGGGGTAACTGAGACCAAAGCTTGTCAGATGGCTCCTCTGGGGAGAGGAAGCCCGGGATCCAGCAGTGTCCACCTGGCGGGGCCAGGAAGCCCGGCCTAAAACAGCCCTTGGGTCCACCTGGCGGGGCCAGGAAGCCCGGCCTAAAACAGCCCTGGGGCAGTCCACGTGCCAGTTTGCTCCCAGAAGAGCAATGCTGGCCTAGAACAAACGGGGCGGCGCGAGTGGGCACCTCTGCAGGAGCAGCACCCCCCAGGCACACAACCAGAGCCGGTGGACAACTGCTGACAGTCACACTGGGGTCCTGACTGGGTGGTCACTACTGCAGCCGTGGTGCATACATCACTTTTGAACCCAAGGCAGGAGGGCTATTTTGACACTGAGGATTAAGATCAGGAAGCTTCCAAACCTCCAAGCTTTTAAAAACCTTGCTGCCTGGAGAGAGTGACGTTTCTGCCGGTGGGGCGCCCACGTGGATGCAGCCCACACAGCTCTCTCTTCTGGCACAGGAGTTCCGTGCAAATCAAACCCGAAGCTGAAACACCACCTTTACGGGCGAGTTGTTCCCTGTGCACTTTTCGCATACAGTTCCCAGCTCACATTACACGAACAACCAGTGTGAAGACCAGGGAAACATTACAATTTCACCCATGTTTTAGGCTTTGAAATCTTTCACAGGTGTTCCTAAAGGAAGAAAAAGGCAAGACCTACAGGTCAGGTCAACGACTGCTTAGGTGCAGGAGTACCAGAGGGGCCTTCGTGACCCATGCGTACCTACGGTGCAGGATGAAACGAGCAGGTTGCTCACCAGGCCCCTTTTTGTCGCACGGGAAGAATTCTGAGCAGCATGCAAACTACAAATATCACCCTGAAAAGCACTAAGACGCCTGTCCCTCATCAGAGGGCTCATCTGCAGCTAAACTCAAGTTTTCTATAGAACTGTGAATAATCAAAACTGAAAATGATAATAAATTAAAGGGGAGGGGAGGAAACCACACTCTGAGCCAACGTAGCCAATCACCTGCAAAGCCCACGACACTGTAAAAGAAAGTATTTTTGCCCCTGCTTCGCCCAGCAACCACATATCTGCTCTGAACACAAAAATGCTGAGAATTGTCCTTGCCCAGAAGTGGTTTGTGAAAAAGGGTAAATGCATTTTAACATACATAATTTATCTTGCAGTAAACCACAAAAATGAAGGGGAAGAAGCCTGAAAAAAAAAAAAAAAGCATATACAGATGCTATAATAATCTGATCAAATGCCACTAAAGCATTAAAGCCCGTTTGAAACCCGAAAAATGCCCTGCAGCATGCTGAGAAGGCAGCCCTTCCTCTTTTTTGTCTTCCCTCCACAGTGACCTCATTCTAGCACCGGCTCAGCAATCACTTTCTCGCATTCTGTGCTCTTCATTGCAAGTGTGCTCAGCAAATACAAGCCCCTGTGGACTGTGCGCCCGTGGTGCACACACAGCTCGGGCTGCCCAAGGCCTTCTGCAGGCAAGGCTGCCCTCCAATGTCAACCAAACTCCTCAGGATCGAAGCGGTGATCCAGCAAGTGAGCTCCCAGTTTCTTCATCTGTGGAGAGAAGCCAAGGTTCTCAGAGGGGGGAGTGGGTCCCTTCCTCTCAGTGCTGCCACCACACCAGGCAGCACAAAGGAGGCTGGCCGAGTTCGTGACACAGGGCAGAAATGCAGTCCGACTGTCAATATAGCTGACATTAGCAGGGCTCTCTGGTGTACAGGCTTAGCTCAATTATAACTTCCAAACCACCAGGGATTTTTAATTATTAAAAGTAAACCATATGTCAGAGTAATAGAAGACAACCCCATAATCAGGACTAGCAGGAGGTAGCAGCCTTTAACTTGTTTCTACTCTACTGTTTTGTACTTTGAAGACCTTTTCTCAGCAGAAAAAGCGCAGAGATGCAAGATAACAGAGGTAGCTAAAGAGGCTCCAGCAATCAAATGTGTATGTTGACAGGCTTACTTAAGAGTCTGGGAACCAACTGTGTTCCTTGCTTGTGGATGTAAGGCTGTGTGCATGTGTATATATGCACAAACAAGGGGCTTCAAAAATTCCATTATCCTTTCAACCCATCTTTCCATGAACTTTCTGAAGCCCCCTGTCCACAGAGACAAAGAACGAGATGAAAGGGACAAAGAATAACACACACCAGCTTTGCTATGGGCTTATTTTGACAAGCTACTATTTTAGTCCTTGGTTTCTTTAAGGCCAGAACAAGGACAGCAACTGACATTAGATTAGCAGATGGAGAAATCCCTGCGTGAACCGCTGGTTGTTAGGTGCTCTTGAGCTAGTTCTGGCTCACAGCGGCCCACGAACACAGGAGACACAATGCCCACTCGTGCGCCATCCGCACTGTTATGTTTGAGCCCCGTGATGTAGCCAAGGGGTCTCTTTTTTGCTGACCCTTTACTTTACCACATAAGAAGGCCTTTTCTGGGGATTTGTCTCTCCTGATAACATGTCCAAAGTATGAGACAGGAAGTCTAGCTGTCCTTCCTTTTAAGGAGCATTCTAAATGACTCCTTCCTCCAAGACAGATTGGGCCATTCTTCTAGTCATCTAGGGTATTTTTGGTAGTTTTAATTGACACCATAATCCAAATGTGAGATTTATCGTGACACATGGATTTATAATGACACAACATACTATCAGTGGGTCTGGACCGACCGTGTATATCAAAACATAGACCAAGATGTCTCTAATTCATCAATCTTAGACATTTCATAAGTGTTATATGCAAAAACTTTATAATCATTATAGAAGTTTACCTTAACAGGCAAAGTAGATTGAAAAGGAGCCTCAAGTCTGAATTTGTAAATATTCATATTATAAGAAAAGCTACTATAATAAGTTGGCCTACCTAAAAAAAGGATCTTAAACCACATCAGAAGCAGTTACAGCTTATGAATGCATTTAATAATGGGAAAATATCACACAGTAACACTCCAAACCAAACTAACATATGGAAATCATGTACAATCATCAGAATATATCCTCTGTCTTGGTGCTAACATATATGGGATTTAATATGTGGATTATGTCCCAAAAAAACGGTTTAAAAATAAATGATGTACATGGGATTCAAATGACAGTATCATACACTACCCAATGCCGGTGAGTTGAAGCTGATTCCTGGCAACCCCACATTAGATTGGGCATCTTTATGACAGCAGTCAACCTCACTTTTCCCTGGCGAGTTTGAACAGCTGACCTTGGGGCTAGTCCAATGCTCATCAAGACTACTGTAAAAATCTGACTTATATAAAGGAGATCAACATATATTAGCTGCAAAATAAAAGGAGTTACTACAGCTTGGTGGGGAAAAAGGCATGTCATGTAGTGCTTATAAGAGCTCCTAAAAAGCTGGAAGGAAAAGGAATAATTTCTGAAAAAATGCTAAGGATGAACTGAAGGCAAGCCTTACCCTCTCTTTGTCCCATTCATACCAGAAAGCTTTACCAGGACGAGGGCACTGCCCAGCATCCCAGCATCCCGAGCTCAGGCCGAGCGCTGCCTCACCTTCCGAAGCTCTGATGGCGTAGCCGCCCTTCTTCTCACCAGGAGGCACCTGGAGCAGCTGCATGAGCCTGTCCAGCAGTCCGTGGATAATCTCAAACCCAGGGCTCCTGTTGTAATACACAGCGCAGAGGTGCCTGTGGTTCCTGGCACCTACATCTAGAAAGAAAAGCAGAGAACTGGTCACAATCACCGTGACTCTAGAAATGGGTTCATCCCAAAGCCACTCAAAAAGTACATCAATTAATGAACGTACAAACACTCGCCCTCAGGATTACACAACAAGCCAAAATCGCCAATTTCAACCACCGGAATTGCTAAGGTGATTTTAGGTACGGGATCCCGGGACAGTGACTTTATGCTTATGTACAGTGAGGTCGGTAAAACCCTTTTGGAAGAATTTAGGAATACGCCAGAGAAGTATCACAGATTGAGTTCTGCTCATCATTTTTTTTTTCTTTTTTAACATTTTATTAGGGGCTCATACAACTGTTATCCCAATCCATACACACATCAATTGTGTAAAGCGCATTTGTACATCGTTTCTCAAAACATTTTCTCTCCATTTAAACCCCCGACATTAGGTCCTCATTTTCCCCCTCCCTCCCCGCTCCCCCCTCCCGCATGAGCCCTTGATAGTTTATAAATGGGTATTTTGACATAACTCGCACAGACCGACGTCTCCCTTCATCCACTTTTTGGTTGTCTGGCCCCCAGGGAGGAGGTCACACACAGTTCCATGTAATTGGTTCCCTCTTTCCTACCCATTCTCCCTTTACCCTCCCTGTTTTGCCACTCACACCACTGGTCCTATAGGGCTCATCCGTCCTGGATTCCCTGTATTTTCAGTTCCTATCTGTACCAGTGTACCTCCTCTGGTCTAGCCAGTCTTGCGAGATAGAATTCGAGTCTGCTCACCATTTTAAGATGAACGAGTCTTGCCTAAATGACCATAGTAAAAAAGAAAAAGGACAATTGCGAAACTGTCAGTTATGCTAGCAAGGTGCCAACAGCCTTGGCTGCATGTGAACCATCCTTTGCTATCCTGTGCTGACAAGGCAGCTCTTATGTGAGTGTAGACTTAATACACAGCTCTCACAGAAGCAGTGCTGAAGGAAGGTGTAGGTCATCTATAAGGCTAATGGACAACAGCAGTTTATCAGCAGTTACGTGTGGGTGAGAGGAATCAAAGTTATACATGGATTTTCAGCTTCAAGAGGGAGCAGTGCTGACTCATCTGCTTGTTCAAGGGCCAACTGTATATGCCAGACCTTTAAGACGTCCTACTCTTTAATTCCGCAGTACTACCCCAAGGAAATAATCCTGCATACACAAAAAGGCTTTGTGTAGGAGACGTTCACTGCAATATGACGTCCAATAGTGACGTCTAGAAACGACGACACCGGGCACGGTTACGTAAAGTGCATGCAGTCACTCATCGGGATATGATGCTATTGTTAAAAGGCATATTTATTCGTGGAATTGGACATGTAGAGACTGGCAGGCACATTGCTCAATATTCTGGTCTGTTTTGTTCTCAACAACAACAAAAAACATGACCTGCCAAATCAGACCAAATGGCGTGTCAAACCTATAGCAGCGCTACTAACACACGGCGTTTACAGAGGCAGTGCACTGCTATGGCGGCCTGATGCTGAGTGGGGGTTCCAGGAAGGAGCTCAGATACAAGCTGTCTCTTTAATTAACATCTCGCTGCAAAACAGAGGTTGATGCTAGTTTTGCTTTTCACCTTTAAAAAAAAAAAGCAAAATTCCTCTTCAGATTTCTTTCAGTAAATGAAAACCAGTACCAATGTAGGGCTTTCCTAGTAACAAAGAGGCGGAAAGCAAACTTTGAGAAAACAAGGGCCCTTGCCCATTGTTTTAGTCTGGGTACTTTGGAGAAACAAATCCACAGCAACTCATGTATAAGAGAGAGTTTTATGTAAAGAAAATGTACATCACGAAAACATTCCAACCCAATGCTGCCCAACGTTAACCCATTAACCCAACACCAGTCCGCAAAGTCCTCCACCTCACAAAACACAGGCAATGATGCCGACTGCAGGAAGAAAGCTGAGTCAGTGAACGAATAAGCATCTCAGCACTAGCAGGGGTCTCCACACGGCTGCTCCAGCACCCAGGGCTGCATTGGGATAGGTCCATGTAGCTTCTCCTTGGGGATGTCTTGTAGGAAGTCAATCTTGCAAGCTGAAGCAGGGAACTGCTAAGACAGCTGCACCCGGTGCAACCATCACAAAACAAGAGACCCGAGAACTAGAAAGGCCGAGGCTCACCACCCATTTATCCCTCCGCCTTTCAATTAGCCCCACATGTGATTATCGGCCAGGCTGGCACAATTAACTAACTCACCCATACAAGGGAACACTACTGAGCAAAAAGGGAGCAAACCAGCGATAGATTGTCTCCTTGGATCCGTCTCAAAGGCATTGCTTGCAGACTGAAGAAGCCAACCCCAGCAGGTGACACACAGTAGAACTCCACTCAGCTGCTAGTTTAGAAAAAGCAAAACTATACTAGTGGAAGAGATGAGTTGCTGGGGTTTAGATGTGAGGACATGAAGTGAATGTAATGGCACATCATGAGGGGGCTTGGGGGTGATGGGACCATCATGTATTCTGATTGTGGTGATAGTTACATGAACCTAGACCTGTGTTAAAACTAAACAAAACCACAGCATTAGAGTGAGGTGGACTCAAATTCTGTGGTATCATTCAACTTTATTTTATATATATATATATACACACTGTCAAATCAATTCTGACTCACAGTGCCCCATTGTACAACAGAATGAAGCACTGCCCTCTCCTGTGCCATCCAATGTTTACAGCTGCTGCTTCTACTTCTGAGTCATGCCCATCGGCAATGGAAGGTCCTGAAAGCTTTGCTCCACCCACTTGATGAAGGTCGACTCTACTTTGAGGAGGCAGGTCTTCCCCAGTTGTGTTTTGTGTGCATTACAACCTGAGGCGCTTACCTTCCAGCACTGTAGTGGACAATGTTTTGCCTCCAGTCAGAAGGTTCTCAGTGGCTAATCTCTCAGAAGTGATAGCCTATTCCTTCCACTTAGTCTGTTCTTTAGGAGCCTTGGTTACATGTTGGGCTATTAACTGCAATGTCAGCAGTTCAAAACCACCAGCCGCTCCAAGGGAGAAAGATGAGGCTTTTTATGGACGTAGAAAGCCTCATCTCAGAAACCCGCAGGGGCAGTTTTACTCTGTCCTAAGGGGTCACTGTGAGCTGGAATCAGTTAGATGGCAGTGAGTCTGTTCTTAGTCTAGAAGCTCTGCAGAAAACTGCTCACTCTGGGTGACCCGGCTGCTATTTGAAACATCACAGTACAGCTGTGAGTGGTGCTAGGTCCAGAGTACCAGATTTCCCCAAGTGACCTCCATCCAAATTAAGTGGTAACCAGGTCCAACCTTGGCTTCTAAGATCAACAAGACCGGGCATGTTCAGGGTGGTATGGGTCTGGGGGCCCTTTACTAAGGAGAAGAGCACTGCTCTAAGACAAACACGGAAGGACTGTTAGTCTTGCTTTACTTTTCAAATTGGGAAAAGAGAAAGATCAAACTAATACCTCCCTAGGGAAACCAACTGAAAATTAAGAAAGACTTCCGATTAGCCTATTGAACAAAAGCTCTACCATAGACTCACTCCCAAAGATGACTAACCAGCCATAGTGAATACAAAACAGATATTCTTCAGACATCTAATTAAAGGGTCCCTAGTGATTCCCTGGTTACAGAGCTGGGCTACCAACCAAAACTAAGAGGAAGAGAGAGGGGGGGGGAGAGGGAGGGGAATGGGGGGGGAAGAGAGAGAGAACCTCATTCTGGCCCACCAAGCCCCAGGGACGACATCCCTGTTCAGATCAGTCAATGCACAGAAAGGACAGTAGGGCCAGCCCCACCACGACACGACACGATGTTCCCTCACTGACCCATAGGGCTATGGGGGACAGCACTGGAGACACTGTGCAGAAAGTGTGCCTGGTCTGCCCCATGCACAGCAGGGTGTACCACCAAGAGAATGCAACAGGGCATCAAGAGGAGCAAAGTAAACAAGTCCCTGAGGAATCCTGAAAACAGACTTCTGACTTGGGGGACAGGACTTGGCACCTCATCAGACTTGATTCAAAAACATAAGGGTCAGAGCAGGCAGACCTGGAACTATCTATTGGTTTTTTGTTTTGTTTTGTTTTCCTTTCACCCTGTACCTATATAAGATAGGCAGGATGAGCAATCCCGAGGAGAAAACAATGGGATTGGCAGTTCTGGAGGGACATAGGAGAGGAGGGGGCGGGGAGGGGAGAGCCAACAAACTCAGGCATAAGGGAACAACAAGAGAACTAAAACTGATGGCGAGGAGGGTGTATAATGCCTGGTGGGGTTTAATCAAGTACAATGTAAGCGAGAGGAATTACTGAGAGCCTAATAGAGGGTGAGCATGATAGTGGGATAGGAGGAGGATGAAAGGAAATAGAGGGAAGAAATAGGAGGCAAAAACTATTTATAGAGGTTTAGCTATAGGCATGTATATACTAATTTATAATGAAATATACTAATTTACATAGGCATGTATATACTAATTTATAATGAAATATACTAATTTATATTTTGAAAGGGATAGAGACTAATGTACCTATATTTATGTTAAGCATTAAGATAGCAGACAGACTTTGACCCCTACGCAAGGCCACCCTTAACACCAGAACACTTTGTTCTAATAACCTGGCACTCTTTGATACTCACCTTCCTGACACGATCGCTGAAGACAAATGGGTGCATAAGCAAATGTGGTGAAGATAATGGGTAGTGCCTGGCTAGCAAAAGATATCGTGTCTGGGGTCTTAAAGGCTTGACGTTAAACAAGCAGCCATCCGGCAGGGAAGCAAATAAGCCCACTTGGAAGAATGTGTGATCATGAGGCTGTTGACGGTATCAGGTACCACAAGATCCTAAACAAACAACCACATTGACACAAGCAAGGGAGTTTGAAGTAGAGACCCAAAGTCCCTCTGTAGAAAATTGGATATCCCCACAGAAGGGTTATAAGGAAGGGATGATTCAACAAGGTGCAGTATGGCACCAATAAAACACACATGATTCCTCTAGTTCCTGAATGCTTCCTTCCCCA